AAGAACTCGAAATCAAAGACGGTGTCGCGTCGCTAAATCTCTTTAGGAGGACTATCGACGAAAACTTCTACGAGGCACATTAGAGCCCTGAGTATGTTTACCATAGCAGAAACAAAAGCCCAAGGAACCGTTACTTCGATAATTTAGTCGTAGTTGCTTCGGCACGTTTTGCCAGTTTCGTAGATTTACCGTAACTTTTGCCTTACATCTGTTTGCCAGAAGTCGAGGCGATCCTTGGTTTTATCACTCGCTATGGTCAGTGCCAAGAACGCAATCGGTAACCCCTAAAGGATCACCGGTTGAGTCCCACTCGAACGAATTTTTGTTCGTACGCGCCCACTATCTGGAAGGCCACAAATCAGGAAGCTTCCAATTTTGCACACGCCTAGCCAAAGGTTTATAAAAACCCATGCAAGGTACGGAGACGGCGGATATAAGAAAAAATTGAACTAGACACACGAGACGGAGTATATAGACGCCGCTGGCGAGTATCACTGAACTCCCAAAAATAAACAGCAAATTATTTTCACTGAAGTGAATATTTATACAGTCCACTTCTAATCAGTTCGCGCAAAGTTAAGTCGCGACGTACGGGTTTTCCTATAACATTTCGAAATGGAAAACGCGTACACAACAGACGGAGCCGCGTACCATGTCGACCTGTTCGGATCTTTTTCTTATTTTTCTTCTTTTTGCAGTATAATGCACGCCCATGCATCGATGAGCCAGCGTTCCAGCTGTTCGCTCCCGGAAAGGCCGCGTCACGCGGAGCGCCTTATCCCGAGCTATGTTTGAAATTAGCATTAATATAAGAAAAACAGAGAGCCGGCGTTCCCGCGAGCGTGCATTACTCGGCTGCCGGAAATGGTACGGCGGCGGGATCTCATTTCCCTCGTCATTGTTATCATTCACCGACCCCCCGCCCCGTTTCTGTCTAAGCGAAATCACGCACCGAAAATACAAGTCGCCGGAGGGAAAGAGGACTCGGTGTGCATGGCGGTTCAGAAATTGCCGCGGGACCCGGGGAAGGTTAATCTACTTACGCGGAGAATAAATAATGCAGAATAAGGTTCGTTCGATTGAATCTTCACGGGGAACGTTTTGGAAAGGAGATTCAGCGATTGAAAGTGGGAAGTAGGTCAGTCGTGAATAGGCGGGTTGATTATTAGATCGCTTGAAGACTCTATTCAATGTATACCTTCGATTCGACTGGGAGTAATTAAGACTGTTAATTGGTTTGTTCTAGGGGATAGACGGATTTTGAAAGAGTTCTGAGTGTTTGCTGTTTCTAAGATATTAATGTGAATCTTCTTAGTTTTTTAGATGGAAGTCTGAAGATAGATTTTGAGGTGTTTGTAGAGTATTATTGTGATTTGTAGGGTGTATATTATAGTAATTTTTGGATGAGAAAGTGTAGGATCATGGAATACTAGGGAAAAATATTGTGAAGTTTTGGGATTGTTAATGTTATTTTGTAGAGGTTATTTATTTCTCTTGTGGAGTTGATGAAGTATGTAATAAATCGACTGTTTTATCAAAGGGAATTAATGAAGTATCTAATAAATCAACTATTTTATCAAGTGTATTAATAAAGTATCCAATAAATCAACTATTTTATCAAGTGTATTAACAAAATATCTAATAAATCAACTGTTTCATCAGCTCTATCGCTAAAATATCCAATAAATTAACCATTTCATCAAACGCAACAATAAAACATCCAACAAATCAACTACTTCACCAACTCCACCGATAAAACGTTTGTTTTAACAAACAAATTATCTCGTTGCCTCAACGAAGAAATAAACAACAAGAAACATCCCCAAATCCCCAGAATCCCAGAAACACCGTGTATATTCCAGAATCACGTGCGCAGACGTACTTTACGGTAAATGACGGTAGCCGACCGGAAGCCGAGGACCTCCTCGAGATAACGTTGTTCCCGGCACGTCGTTTAATATTTTAAAAGGCCAACAGCGAGAATAAAAATCGCGCGTGCGTGCGGGGAGCGGAGAGATCGGGCGGAATTGAAATTTTTACATTTCAATGACGCGCTCGCGATAATCCGGTGGCACGGCCGGAGCGGAACGAGTTCGGTTGTTGCCGGGGATTATCGTGAATGATTTAACCGAGGCTCCGGCTGAAGCGGCGCCGGAGATTCGACGGTAATTCCGGGACATGGCTGGATGTCTTATTAATCCGTAGCTCTCCCTTTGATTCGCGGGCGTTGCCTTCTACTTTGACGACGGATTACTGGGCCACGCCGGAAAGTAAATGGATGCTTAACGTTTAACCGCCTGACGGCACGCTCGCGCTGATACCGCAGACAGATGACGCGAATCTTTGATACGATCCCGTGAACTTCTTTGCTCGGTTCGTTGCGGTGATTCCGTTAGTCGATGGCGAACGATGTGATTGTTGGATTATTTGATTATCATATTGAGGATTTTCGAGGAGTTTCAGCGAAGCATGTACAGATAATTTAATGTGAAGTTTTGAGGAAGTAATAGTTTTGGATGATTTTGCTTTTTTTTGGTTATGTTATGGTGGATAATTTGATTACTATATCACAAGAATTAGTTAAACGTAAGGATGAATATCAATTTGAACTTAGACCATTCGAAACAGTGTAGCCAGCGAATAATTACATATTCTCGCTATCGGCAATTTATTAAGACGACTCTGTAGCACGAAACTCCAAAGTCGAATTACCATCGCGTACAACTATAGAACAGAGGAAACTCAAACGCTACCCCTTTACATTGACCCTCCACGTACACTGGTCCATAGAATTGTAGTTCTAAAACTAAATTATAGTAACGCACACCTAATCAAAAGAAGTTTCGAAATTAGTATATTTATATTACGACATCCTGATTTATATTATTCACTTTTTCTTTAACCTCTAAAGTGAACCTAAACATAGATCAAGTATCAAAACTATGGCAACTATGCCATATTATTACTATAGAGCTATAGTTACTAAGAATATTGAACAATACCATTTTATTACTGTAGTGCTGTAGTTACTAAGAATATTAAACTATACCATATTATTACTATAACGCTATAGTTACTAAGAATATTGAACTATGCTATATTATTACTGTAGAGCTATAGTTACTATCAATATCGAACTATGCCATATTATTACTATAACGCTATAGTTACTAAGAATATTGAACTATGCTATATTATTACTGTAGAGCTATAGTTACTATCAATATTGAACTATGCCATATTATTACTGTAGAGCTATAGTTACTAAGAATATTGAACTCTGCCATATTATTACTGTAGAGCTATAGTTACTAAAAATATCGAACTATACCATATTATTAAACACAGAACAAGTATCAAATCCTTTTCTCCAAATCAACAACTAACCACAAACTTCATCAAACCCAATTCCAAAAGAAACCACTACACGATCCAAAATCCATTGAAATCAAGGTCACCCTATTCACAAAATCATTGTCATTCCTCCATTCCGCAACCCACTGAACTCCATTCAACCCTCGCCAAGAATATTGTTTGCGCGTGCAATGCATAGTGGAATCGTTGGAACCGATAAACGTACGCCGTATTTCACGCGGGAAAGAAAGCCCGGTCCCGCGGCCAATTAAATTAAACTTCGCCAATGCGTCCGTCCCCCGTTGTATCGGAAAACTGTATGGCAAGCAAGCGAACCGTGCTCGAGCATCGTTTCGCAAAAGTTGGCAATTACGACGCACGCCACGGGCTCATGGAGAACACTCCCCGCTCGTTTGCTTTATGGACCGGGGAATAACAGTTTTCAAGCCTCCCCCTAACGGCGCGCGTTCGTCTTTCCGAAGAAAGCGATCATTCGCGCGCTCGCGCGAGGCGTAACGCGCCCGGCGTTTCACGGTTGCTCGCCGAGTCGAGGCGACACGCTCGCGACGGGATAAACAAGCCGATTAAAGGCCGCGCGTCCCTCTGACCCACCGACTGGAATTCTTTGATTATTTCCTCTCCCCCGCCGCGAGTTTCCCGCGTCGGATTTTCCGTTTTCCCCTTTGTTCCGCGGACAGGGCAAGATCAAAGTCACCGATGCGCGAAGTTTTACTTTTGCGAAACCTTTCGTTGCCCGGGTTTCATCCGTAAGCTTGTTAGGAGCGTTTGCAGCGGCCCGTTTTTCGAGCTCGCCGCGATAACGAGGTTACGTTCGTTTGCGTGCCCGGTGAAAGGAAATATCGGAGTTTTCGATTTTACGCTTCGCCTTCTGTTGTGTGTCGAAGGATATTTTTTAGGGAAGTCGTTTAAATGGTTCGGGTAATTTTGAGAATATCCGTGAGCTGCTTGGGGAATATAAATGAATTCTTAGAAATTTCTTGGATACTCGTTCAATTTCAAAGTTAGAAAGTAGTTTCCACTGTTCCACTGTTCAAATGTTTGGAATATAAGAATTGGTTCTATTTTAACCCTTTGCGGTCCGAAGTGCTCTTGGTTTCTCACTTTGAGGTTCACGTCGACATTAGTTCATTCAATTGCAGCTTAATATGACGCTCTATTTATTTATTCAAGAATATTTGGAAGTCATTGAAATACCTTTAAATGGTAGAATGGTGATACTACAAATAAATATAGAAAAAATTGTTAAAACAGATAGAGGTTGCGATAAAATAGAATGTCGAGTCCGACTCGACATAGGACTGCTAAGGGTTAAAAGATATATGAGTATAACAAAAATCTTTACATCTTTTCCACTTATACCGAGAATGATCTTCATATAAGTTTCCAGAGTTTAGAAATAACGCGTATATCCCGAAAATAAAACGGCGGACCATAAATATCCGGTGGCGTACAATGAAACTTCGAATCAGGTCGTTATACAGATTCCGAAGATCGAAAACCCGGGCGAAGAGCGACGAGCATCGTCGTCGGAATTTTCGCGGGAACGTCTATGAATTATTGCGTCGTCCGGGAATGGACGTGCAAGCATACAAATTCATACGTATCTCGTCTGGTGGCGTCCTTACCTGTTGGTGGGGGTTGGATTGCCGTACGCGACGCACGGTATCACAATGGTGTCTTTCAGCCGCGCGGACGTATAAACCACCTTCTCGTTTATCATCGGCGGCATCGTGCTCCGTATCTCTGCAACCAGAAAAACGAAGGGGTCTCATAAATCCTCTAACGACAATATCGTCCGGTGATATAGATCGGCGATCGCATCCGCGTGAAATAATAATGAAATCTTTCCTTCCGGGCTTGTTCATCGAATTTTTAGCGCAACAGTTCGTGAAAGGATGAGAGGACGTGATTTATGTACCGTTGTGTTAGTTGTTGATGTAGTTCGGGGAGTTTGGAATGCTTTTTATTGGGTTTAGATGAATGAGGTTCTTGGTAATTAGTAGATGAGACTATGGTAGTGGTAATTAGTGGTTTGATGGGCAATGGGCGTTCGGTCGAAGCCATGTAATTACTGGTAGTTATTGGTGATATTGATCTATGACGTGTTATTACTGTAGTGCTATAGTTAATAAGAATATTGAATTGTACTATTTTATTACTGTAGTGCTATGGTTAGTAAGAATATTGAACTATGCCATATTGTTACTGTAGAGCTATAGTTACTATCAATATTGAACTATGCCATATTGTTACTGTAGAGCTATAGTTACTATCAATATTGAACTATGCCATATTGTTACTGTAGAGCTATAGTTACTATCAATATTGAACTATGCCATATTGTTACTGTAGAGCTATAGTTACTGACAATATTGAACTATGCCATATTATTACTGTAGAGCTATAGTTACTGTCAATATTGAACTATGTCATATTATTACTGTAGAGCTATAGTTACTAAGAATATTGAACTATGCCATATTACCACTGTAGTACTATAATTACCACCAATATTAAACTACACCATATCAGCACCATAACACTAAAATTCCTACCAATACCGCACTATATTGTATCATCCCTACAGCATAGTCACTAACAATACTGTCCCATACCCTATTAATACTACAATACTACA